TGGTGAAAATCCGATGTACTGATACAGGCAGATTACAAACCAGAGAGAGCCTGAATGCCTGTAATGACTGTTAATCCAAATCCCTTTTCCCTAGAGTACATTCATTCCTCTTCCTTTAACTTGCTTTTGAACAAAGTAACGATCAAATATCTACACTGAACTTAATAAAAGAGAGAATGCTACATTACAATAGTATGAAAATTACTTCTTTGGTGGTATGGCCTGAAAGGTTGTAATTTCCATCAGAGCCTCTTGTAACTCCCACTTGGCAAAGCATGTAGTGTCATAGGATGCTCTCTGAAAATTGCAGGCTTTGGGACTGTGCAAAGAAGACGTAATGTGTGCCACGTAATTATTAAGTATGAATTCCCTCAGGCACAAGATGCAGTTAATAGCAGTTTATTCAAGGATCACTCTGCACATGGGATCATACCTTAGGAACAAGTATATCACACTTGCAAAAGGAATACGCTTCATAGGTAGGAAGACACAGAAAGATCAGGTCAGAAGCACTGAAGAAATAAAACGAGGAGAGCTTGAGGGCTACATCTGTGGAATATCATCAGTCTTGGGAAGACAAGGGAAGAAATCATGCTGTACAGATCAAAGAAGGCAGTGAGTTGTGAATGGCACAGCCTGAATCTTCCCCTTTGCTCCTAGTGGGTGTCTTTACAGAAAGTAGAGAACAGAACAAAAAGACATCTTGCTCAAGAACAGGGTTTGATTCTTAAGAGGGAAACTGCAAAGTTTATACTGAAATCTCAAGTGGCTTTGATCCTGATAAATAGAAGGAGAACACATGTACTTCTAGAAATGAATCCAAGCACCATTTACAGTTTCCCAGAGGAACTGAGCTTTCCAGATGACACTGTGTTATCATCACAGCATACTTACTCATGCTTTGCCCACTGACATAATGCACTGATGCCCGCTGACATAATGCACTGCTTATGTGATCTCATGCTCAGGGATTAAATTCACTTCAGACAACATAATTTACAACTTAGAGAAGTGGTAAAAAATACAGTTTACTTGTTATCTGGATCAAATTCTGACATTTTCTGATCACAACTAGGTGACCAAGGTGACTCTGGATGGGCAGACTTCAGTTTGCCAGCATACATTTATCCAGTAGGCTGATAACCATCACCTTTGCTTTCTGCATGACTTATTCAGAATAAATAGCAATATAAGCAGAGATCAAACTTCTTCCCAACGTTCTCAAAGACTACACATGCAGAAAAGACACCTGAAGCAGGATATCCTAAAATAAGGCCTGTATTCACAACACAGGAATGTGTGATTTGATTCCTCTACTTGGATAAATACCAACTGCAAAATGTAAGTTTTTAGTTGGCTTGTAAACACAGCATTCCCAAACACAGCATTTTATCTAGGAAGCATTCTCTACTGAATTGCCAAGTAATTCCTGGAAGGATGTTCCACACATGCCTCCTTATCAAAGTAAAGATCTCTGTTTAGTCTGTGAAGTAGGATAGGAGAGTTATCTCAATCTCCCCTCTGGCAGGTTCAAGCCATTCCTCCTTGTCCTGTCACTACAGGCCCTTGTCCAAAGCCCCTCTCCAGGTTTCCTGGAGCCCCTTTAGGCACTGGAGCTGCTCTAAGGTGTCTCCTTCAGGAGCCTTCTCTTCTCCAGCTGCCCCAGCCCAGCTCTCTCAGCCTGGCTCCAGAGCAGAGCTCCGCCAGCCCTCGCAGCAGCTCCGTGGCCTCCTCTGGACTCACTCCAACAGCTCCACATCCCTCTTGGGCTGGGGGCCACCGAGCTGGAGGCAGGCCTGCAGGTGGGTCTCTCCAGCTTAGAGACAAGGATGTCATATTGGACACTGTCAAATGTTTTGCACAAGTCCAGGCAGACGACGTCAGTAGTTTTACCCTTATCCACCAACACCAGTTGTCAAGTACCTCAGCTTTCTCCACGCCCCAGGTGACCAGGTCTCCCATTTCCTTCTGGACAAGGTCCACGTTTTCTCTCACCTTCCTTTTATCCCCGATGCACTTATAACAGCTTTTCTTATTGCCCCTAATGTCCCTGGCCAGCTTTAATACTGTCAGAGCCTTACCTTTCCTAACCTGATCTCTGGCTGCTCAAACAATTTCTCTGTATTCCCTAATATTTTATGGAAAAGAAACAAGCTCCTTCCTTTACTCACTGTCTTTCAATCTGAACACACACAAGCCAAAATGCAAATACTATGATGAGGATTTTTACTTGCAAGAGCAGTCAGAGCTGCCCCTCATCTCACATGCACTATGTGTTAAACAATGTTTAAGAAAATGGTATCAACTCTTGGGTTCATTTACACAGTGAAAGTCCCCTTCTGTCATCACTGATTGCATTTTAAGTAACACAAAAGGCTCTTGTTTGGGCGGAAGAGTGCCCAGGTTGCAGTTTCACTGTACATTATTAGAGTGGTCCCATTCCCATCCTCAAGATGTCACATTCCATGCAATAGATTTCTGATCCCTATGCTTAGTCCACAGAACTTTATGAGTCGTGCTGTTATTAACTACTATTGAACACTTTTAATAACTAAGTTCTCTAACCAGGGTGAAAATACCAAATATATGAGTAACTACAGAGCTCTCTCAATGTGATATGAACACTCACAGGGGAGGGTTTCTTCCTCATCTCAAAGGTCCGGGTAGCACCAAAGCTGAGTGAGGCAATGACAGGATTTTTTCCCAGTGATGGTTCATCATCACTGTGCCAGTCCACACTGTCCTTCTCATTTCTGTAGAGGTTGCAGAGAAGAGAGTTGAAGGTGTAGCCAGTGAACTCTTCAATGCGCTCCTTTAGCATGCTCAGCAGAGGATGCCACTGTAATCAGCACAGCAGGAGTAGGGTAAGTACAATGAAAGCAGGCCAGCAGCAGGTAACATAAGAAAACAAGAGGAAAACAAAATATACTGTACTTTAATCACAATAGACTTGAAATCAAACAAATGCCTCCAAAGAATTCTGATTATATTCTTAATAAAGGTGAGGAATGGGCTTTCTGCAAAACATGCATGTTACCTACAGCTCAATACCAAATTATCTCTTAAAAGCTATGAAGCCAGCCTGCCACTTGCACTAACATAGCCAGCCACCCCAGTTAACTGAAAAGGGAGGAAGTACATAGAGTAAAATCTGCTTGAATTCACCATGGATAAACATTGGGAGTTCTTAACTAACACAAAAAGTGTGCAACTCTCCCATGCATACCTTGCTTTTTACTCTTCTGGCCAAGTTAGAGGAGTTTAACACAGGGGTCTGATAACATCTGAGTTACTTGGCCACTGCTGGTGGGCACAGTGCACCAGAAAGTTGCAATCAGTGATCTCAATTGCTGCCTGTACTGTCACAGAACAAGAGACAACAGTTTGCCTAACACTGTCACAGCATGGCCCTCTGTCCCCACTCTGTTGCTGCTTGAGCCCAACTCATCACCTCTTGGGGCTTAGACTCTGACATTGTACTTTTCAGTGGTTCTCAAAACCAGTGTCACAGGCACTGGATTTCATCCTTCCCCCTGCTAACATCTTCTGTGCCCATGGCCCCCAGCAGCTCTGCACATTCCTGTGCAAGTCAAGTGCAGTGAATCATTATTTAATGTTACAAACCTACATCACGACTTTCATCTGTCAGAGTGCATTTAACTACTACGTAAGTATATATAGAAGAAAAAAAGCCAAAGCAATGTAGGCCAGAAGTGTTGCCTGTTATATAAGTAAAAAAGAAGAAACGATAAAGAGAGGATAAAGAACTGATCCAAATCTCCCAGTGCTTCACTGGCAGAAGAAGGAACAGGTAGCAGGAACTATATCCTAGTATCCACCTCTAATAATCGAGTCTGCAGCACCTTCTCTCCATGCTTACCCATGTTTAAAGGGCTTATAAGCTATTGGCTACACTGCAGAAGCCTCAACATACCACAGACATTAGGAAGAAATTCTTCATTATGAGGGTGCTGAGGTGTTGGCACAGGGTGCCCAGAGAAGCTGTGGCTGCGCCCG